TTGCCTGGCACAAAGCAAAAGGATATCAGCAACTGTTTTGATATAGTGACGATTTTCTTTGATTCTTGCAGATCTGGCAGAGTCTAGGACATTTGAAATTCCTGTACCTTTTTCAATGTTTAACTTAAAATCTTGCCATGATATAGTTGCTTCATGATGTGAGTGACTGGTATTGTGCTTTTCCAAAACTCCACATCTGCCTGTAGCATGCTTCCAATCCCTGTATCCGAGCCTAGTGAAAGTGTTTTCTGCTCTACCTTTGTCAGGTACGGCAAAAAATCGGCAAGGGAAACAGAAGGCAGCATCTTGTAGAATTGAATACTCAAGCCAGGGATATTTCTCAAACCAATTACCGTTAAATGAGCGATGAACTGACCCGAATACTGATGCAGGAAACTTAAAGCTCTTTGGTTGAACAGGACCTTGCAAAGAACTCTGAGAAATATCACTTGGTAAGGCAGAGTGAGATGATCCAGGAGTAGTCTTGACAGAGGCCAGTACATCAGAGCCAACTGAAGATGAAGATGTCATAGTTTGGCTGGTGGTGTCTGTTAGAGATGATGATATTATACTGATGGATGTGCTGGTACTAGGTAGTGGATTAGGCTATATAAAATACAAAAGAATCAGCTGCAAATCAGCTCATGTAACTATATTAAACTAACCAAAGATAGATCAGGGTCACAGCCCTCTGAGTCCAATGAAAAAGAACCATCGTTTATGTCAATGTTTGATTCACTCTCTTGCACCTCTACTAGTCTCTTTTTACTGAAAAAATCTTGTAATGAACTTTGCCTTTTCGCCATGCTTTTTCACATGGAAATACATAACATCTAGTTAATTAATCTTTATAATAATAATAATAATAATAATAATAATAATAAAATTAAATAAGTAACTGGGTGTGTTTTCATGATGATATCGACCAGATGCAGACTCGGCTGGTTTTGTTCTTCTCTTCTGAGTGTTTTCTTTATTTATTGTGTCCTCGGGCCTTGATCAAGATTGGAGAAATCTGAAATTTGTAACTACACTAAATTAGAAGGCAATATTAACATTTATTTTGATTCAGCAGCAGTTGGTAGGGCAAATGCCCTACCATGCCCTACCTTGGATACGCCACTGGTTAGAAAGCTCTTAACTTTGTCCCATGTGTAAGCCGCCATTTTGTTTGCCGTGACCACACCCACTCACGTAAAGGAGCGTGGGCGGGTGGTTGCTAAGGCTTGTTATTTCTCC